GATTTACATACTGCATAAATTACATTCTTGATATCTATATAACCCACTAACCCTAACCACATCAAAAAGGTAACCCTAAAACTCGCTCCGCTTTAGCCGACCACACTTTTTGTTGATATCGGAAAATCACATGACCGGAAAATAGGTGTTAGAATTATCTGTTTATATTCATTGTAAAAAACTTTGGTTTCGTTAATAGACAATAATTTTAAATAATAAATTCTTTTTATTATATATATAGTTACATAATAATCCTATTACGTCTAAATTATGATTAATTAGGTAATTACTTATCATATATATATTATCAATATGGTACGTATTTTGGTATTCATACGGCATTTGCGATTATACATTTGGGGTTCATACGGTTTTTTCCGCAACCGTAACTTGCAATATGTCGTATGGTTCACTGGAACAATTCTACCTGCATTACTAAAAGAAATGGTTAATAGAAGGTAGTTTATGAAATGAAGAATAGAATTTATTCGCACTGTTAAAATTACTTGAATAAATGCTTAAGCATTTATTTCAGAACATAAAATATGTTACCATGAAATGTTCATTGAGTTTCAGCATGCGATGCACAATAAATAATAAATATACCAATATAGTGTAACTTTGAAACTTGATAAACACGTAAGAACAATTTACGTGCATATCGCATATGAGCTCAGATTGATTTGCATAATAAATAAAGGAAAAACTTTCGATTAATTATTAACAAAATATATATGCCAAAGAAGACGTGAACAAAGGAATCGTTATAAAAAAAAAAAAAAAAAAAAATATACATGGGGGCATTAAATTAAAGTTTTTTTTCTTCCTTATTTAAAATGAAAGGTATTGATGTTTTATTATTCACAAACTTTGTCGATTCGCTATCCATATCCATATCCATATCAAAAGATGGCACAATTCCTTCGATATGTAACTTAGGATCAGCTTCAATCTTTTTATTACACGCATAAAGCTCTGCCAAAGTATCTTCATTATGTACATTAGGATTTGGCTTTTGTGTTTTTACTGTAGCTATTATAAGGTGACAAACTTTAGTATTTTATTATCATTGAAACGAATACCTAGCATTCAAAATCAAAAGATGCAAAATGAATTTAATTAACCTGATAAACTAAGTCTTTGATGTCTAAGCAGTTTCTTAGTCGCATTATGGTAAGCATTCTTTACGCGATTTGGAGTCGTTTTTACAATCATATCTGAATTCTTATTTAAATCATCTCGTATTTCAGCCCAACTTTTCCCAAAAGAATCCCGTTGTAATTTAATATAATTGATTTGTTCAGTGCTAAATACAAATCTTTCACCATCGGGCAGCCTGACTGCATGCGAAATAACGAAAATTAGGTTAATAATATATGAATAATTTGTATGTTCAAATAAAGAAAAGAAAGTAAAAGTACCATCACTTTTTAGATAATTTCTCCATCTAACAATTGTAAAATCAAATGTTACAATTTATACAATTTAAAAATTTTTTTTTAAAAAAAAGCAAAGATTGAAATCATGACTTTAATTTGACAATTACTTTTCTTGTAGCTGTTTTTTTGTACGATGTTGACCAAAGATTCTAACAAACTTATCATGTATTAGATCCCAATCCATATGATCTACTTTATCTTGACCTAGGTCATTAACTATTCTCTCCAAACCATTAGTTGCCTATTAGGAAGAATTGTTATGTCTTTAGTAACAAGTATATATGAACTTCGACAATTCGGTGAGTATAACTTGACGCCTCATAAGGCCAGACCAATTTGATTTGGTGGTTTACATTACCCCGCCGGAGAGCTAATGCCGGGCAGAATTCAGATTAGAAATTGGGTCGTTTAAAGCCTGGCACCTTACAAAATTTCCCGATCATCGGATAATCACAGGACATACATAATCAAACTAAAGATTTTTTAAAACTTCTAGCGAAAATTTCTCAACGACTAAAAAAAGGTTTATTGAATTTGGTTTCATGGTTGTCAAGAAATCTTCAGTAAAAGTTTAAAAAAACCTTCGAATATCGGAAATAAGCTAAAATCGGGTGAATTTTTCTCTTTCTAAACTTTAATCGAAGATTTCTCGACATCTATCTATCCCAATTAAATGAAACTTTTTTATTTTAATTCTATGAATCTATAGAATTAAAATAAAAAAAATTGATCGAATTTGATCAGGTAAGTGTATTTTATATATACTTAAACTTTGAAGATTACTCGATACTTACCTAATCAATTTCGATGAAAATTTTTTTATTTTAATTCTATGAATCAATAGAATTAAAAGAGGTAAGTGTCGAGTAATCTTTGTTTAAAGTCGAGTAATCTTTGTTCATAGTTTAAGTATCTATAAAAACTGCTGCAAATTTCTTTTTTAACTTTGAATGAAGATTACTCGACACTTACCTCATCAAATTCTATCAAAATTTTTTTATTTTAATTCTATAGGTTCATAGAATTACAATAAACCAATTTCCATAGAATTTGGATGAATGATTGTTGAGAAAATTTGCTAAAGTTAACTAGTAAGTTTATTATAACTTTTCTTTTTTAAAAAAAATTTTTTTAAAATTTTAAGCGAAGATTTCTTGAAACCTATCCATCCAAATTCGATAAAAAAAAATTTATTTTAATTCTATGAAACAACAGAATTAAAATAAAATATTTTGACTGAATTTGATCAGGTAAGTGTCGAGTAATCTCCATTCAAAATTAAAAAAGAAATTTGCCGCGTTTTTATTTTATAGATAAACTTTGAACGAAGATTATTCGACACTTACCTCATCAAATTAGATCAATTTTTTTTATTTTAATTCTATTGATTCATAGAACTAAATAAAAAAATTTTCGTCGAAATTATTAGGTAAGTGTCGAGTAATCTTCATTCAAAGTTTAAGTATCTATAAAATAATAATTGCGGCATAGTTCTTTTTTAACTTTCAAATTTCCAATTGAAAATAAAATTTACTATGTATACGTTCCCCCCCCCCCCCCCCCCTTTTGAAGAAGGGATGTAATGTAAACCACCAAATCAAGTTGGTCTCGCCTAAAAGGAATGAATAAATCTGATTCCGAACATTGCGCGTTTTCAAAACTTGGTTATAGTTTCTTTCAAGACAGCTAACACAAAAAGGACACTTACTTCCTTGGTCCAATGCATATTTGCTTACGAGGGAATAATAGATAAAAAGGAGCTTGTAAGGATAAAGATAATAATGCTTTAGGTTGTAATTCAGATAGCATATGTTAACCGAATAAAAAAAAAAAGAGTGTAAGCAAAGTTTAAAGGAAGGTTGTTGGAAGAATAGCAGTGAGCACAGAGATCAAGAGGAGGATATATAAGCGTGCAAATGTTAAGGTGCGCCGTGTGACTTCATAATATACATTTTTATTTATGTTTCTTCAATTTTTGAAAATGGAAAAAATGGAAGTAGGTAAAAGAGAGATTATCAGCTGTTTAATATGGTAATCTGAATGATCAAAAAGTGTTTAGTGTTCAAGGTTGAGTATAGAACTCAATTAAGTCATTCATTATCACAAATTCGCCGGCCAGCACTATTAATATTTTGTTTAACGTTAATGTCAGGAATTTTCGATCAAATTAACCATTTACAGTAAGTATACACATTCATTCATATAACAAATGTATAAAAAAAAATTTTTTTCACTTCCTGGTCTAATGCTTTCCTGGAACGCCCATTTTCTTAATATTAGAAACCTGTTAATTTTGTTACCCTATTACGACACTGAATACAACACTGAATACGACATGAATACTATCCATTATTTTGTGTTTCTATTTGAAATGATTCACTTCATTCATTCATGATTTTTCATTATCGGAAAAATAGGAAAAATAAATAAAAATAAATGGCTTGGTGTAATTTCGCTCTACATAAAATACATAAAATACGTGGTTAATTGTATGATCCATTGTGTGAACCAATTTTTCGATAAGAGCGCTTCTGTGTAATATTAATCTTTCGTATAAAGACTCTGGGATCTCATGACCTTGGCATATTTGTTGTACGCACTACGTATGTACGTGTTTCAAGATATCCTCGAAAGAATTCTAAATCCATTAAGAAAAGGTGATCAATACCTTATATAAAACGGTCAGTTCTTTCATTAGGTCTTAAAATGATACCATCATTATAATCATTTACGATCATGTGTTTTAACAATGTTTTTATATATCGTCATTTTGATCCACTGTTCATTTTTAATTTTGGCAAATACAATAACGATAACGATAATGTTATCGATTTACTAATACAATTTACTAAATATATATATGCGATTATATCAAGTTGGTCCAATAAAAATTTTTATCATTTTCACATAACAAATTAGATCGAATTAATACTTTTAAATAATACCAAAATTTTCTACGTATACGTACGTACGTACATATAAACGATTAAGGTGTATTTTTTTCCAAATTTTATTTGTGATTTAAAAAATTATATAATTTTTTAAAACTTTAACAAAGTTTTTTTAACAACTGTCTATTAATCTTAATAGATTTTTTATTTGAATTTTACAAATTTATAAAATTAAAAAATTTTATTAAAATTGGTTAAATAGTTGCTTAAAATTAAAAAAAAATTGAAGGGTGTGGTGATTTAGTGAAGTGGTTAAGTTGTTGCACCCCCAAGCAGTATTGTTAGCAAGTTGGGGTTCAAAACCCACTGATGATAGAAATTTGAAAATTTTGCTTGTATAATGGTTACTATTTTTCAATGATCAGTTAAAATGAAATCTCTGTAACTTTGGTAATACCAACAAGATTGGGAGATTATGTAATATATAAGTTACACAATTGTATAATATCAAAAAACCGAAAAGACAGGTATTTGCTTAGCAAAACCCAAATAGAGAGATAGCATAAACTTTTGGTAATAACTACTGGAATAGGTTTTACCTAAGGTTAGTTAACTGGATAAAACAAGAGTATCAGCAAGTTGCTCTACCAACCAGGCTGCTAAAGTATCAACCAGAGAGAAAAGATCAGCAGATACTAGAAACTAGTATTCTTTCTGGGCTATCTAAATTGGTAATCTGAAAAGATCAGCTAGAAAATACTAAAAAGTAGTATTGACAGGTAAGGTATTTTTAGATTTTAGAATTTTTAAATAAATATTTTAGGATAGTTTTGAAAATAAAGACATATGTCTGAAAATAATAAAGAATTAGATCACATGATATTTAGCCAATAAAATTTTTTTTTTTTTTTTGGTGTTAAGGTGAGGCCTTGCTCATATCTTTATTAATAATTTTTAAAATAGTTA